GCAGAAATAATCCAGTTTGACACCACTTTAACTTCCATGGCTCAATGTGGAAGTCATGGATCAAGACTACAAGCTATTAATTAAAAAGAACACACAAGCTAGGGGAGGCTGAAGCAGTTTGCTTTTGCTTTTGCCTACAGGGAAGGACTAAACTCTGCTCCCTTCTTTCTGTTTGTCCCTACTGTATTGACTGCAAACTATTTTTGAACTTTAAACTCAGTTTGCATCAATTGGTAAACTGAAGGCAAAGGGGGGAAGTGGGAGGGAGAAAGAAACTGATGCATTTTAAATGCAGTTGAAAAATTGGGAGGACAGAAGATTAATCAGTACTGTCCATCCCAAATTGAACTGTTGGAAGATATGCGAGTATTATTTTCATTGCTACCTTCAACAGAGAAAGCAAACCAATCACTATCAAAATGAAAACTGTCAAAATTCTTTGGGGACACCGTTTTCCATTTGCAGGGTCTTGATCCATGCCCTCAGAGCAGTGTGATTAAGGCATTCAACTATTTTGTGTCTTCAGGTAATTTCTGATTTATGGAGACCTTAAGGTGAAAATATCATGGGGTTTTCTAAGGCTGAGAGTGTGTGACCTGCCCAAAGCCACTCAGTGGGTTTCCATGGCAGATCAGGGATTTGAACCCTGGTCTCCAGAGTTATAGTCCAGCATGCAAACCAGTATGCTTTTCTATCACAAAATTCCCAGCTAGATAGTGAAGGCCCAACAGGTCCAATAGAAAATCGAGGAAACAGGTTTCTCCCACTTTAGAGAACAAACAAGTGAGTCAGATAACAGTGCCAGCAAAACAGAAATGTTCACAGATGTTCACGTATTATGTACAGATTGAACCACAGAACAGTGTGACATATGAACAATTCTGGGTATGCATTAGGAATGTACCTAGATGCAGAGATTCTTCCAAACATCTATGCATGTGTATATTCATGTTCTTGTTCTTTGCCTCAAGTATCAAAATGTTTTGGACTGGACTAGCTACAAGCCACAGACAACCATGCTTTCCTGGACAGCAGGGACATGGCTCTCTCTGATTAAAGGCCATCATATTTCATATGAAGAACATAATGCTTACAGTGGTCTGTGCAGAAGCAGCAGGTGGGACTCTGATGAAGGAACAGCTCACATTTGGGATTCATGGCGGGGAGGATGAGATTAGTAGGTTTATATTAACCCTTAAATCCCCATGTTTGAGGCCACGGGGCGATTAGAACCTGGTTATGACTATGAGATGATCTAGCACTGATAGGCAGGAAGTGGTGCCCCACATTGCTTGATGCATGATCTTGGGTATAATTGACACTGATGTAGGTTCCACTGGTGTCTATGGGGTTTACACCCACAAAAGCATAGACTTGACATTTCCCTGAAAAAAAAAATAATGAGATGTTTCTACCAGATGATTCCTCCAATGATATATTTCTCACAAGAACAGCAGATCTCACTTGATTGCCACCAACTGGGGCTTGGCCCTAGAGAGAGCATCCATGTATCTTGGCACCATCAGTGTTGACTTTTGCTCTGAATCACCCAACCTCAACCCTAAACCAGAGCCAGAGTTAAACATCATCCTTTTTTGTGCATCTCCTTCCAAATCTCCTTCCATCTGAATTAAAGCAGAGACAAAAATTAAAGTAATAACAAGAGGATAATTTTGCCTCTAATCTGATCTTCCTCGAGCATGTTTGAGTTCACTTGCACAGCTTGTGCTACAATTAAAAGGTTCACATGCTTGAAGCTTGCCCCCACCCTATGAGAAATGTACAGGAAGTGGTTGAAAACTTTTCATATCCTGGATGCCTTTCAATAAAGAAATACTTTCTTACTTGGAGGCCCTCTTTGCTTTCCTAAGTGTACGAATAAAGACTGAAAGGTTCTTTTTATTTGAAAAAAACAACCAAAAAATTCTGCCTTAGAGGACTTTTGCATTCAAAGCTTTTAGAACATAATTTGAATACTGAAATGTAAGGCATTGAACTTGGCTTACAAATTCTGGCAAGCCTGATATTACTCCACTACCCCTACACTGACCTGTATTCATGACCTATACATGACCTACATTATCTATTAACATAGATCTGGGAAATTATATTTCAGTTGTCAAGGTGTTTTTGGACTTCAGCTCCAATAATCCCTTTCCATTGGCCATGCTAGCTGGGGCTTTTGGGACCTGAAGTTGAAGACATTGGGAGGAACAAGCGTCCCCTGTCCCTGTGTTAGTAGAAGCATACTTATTTAAGTTCAAATGAGATGTAACATTAAATGAGTCTTTGAAGCCTGTGCTGGGACAGATCCAAAGGAAGATGACCAAGATGATGATGGGTCAGGATAAAGTGCTACAAGGTATGGTCAGAAGAGATTAGTACTGTTGGTCCTCTATATCCACAGATTCTGCACCCACATATTCAACCATCCACAGCTTGAACATCTTTTTTTTTTTTTAAAAAAATCAAAAAGTGAATCTTAATTTTGCCATTTGATATAAGGGATACCATTTTACTATCACATTGTATATAATGGGACTTGAGCATCCATGGATTTTGGTGTCCATGCAGGCTCCTGGAACCAAACCGCAGCAGATACCAAGTGTCTACTGTATATTTTTTATCCTGGAGAAGAAAAGACTTAAAGAGACTGCATGATAACTTCCAGAAATATTGTCACATGGAAAGTTGAGGAGGCATATTACTCTTGTGGACAGGACTAGAACCAATGATTGGAAATTTCAAGGAAACAGTTTTTGACTAAACATTAAAAGAAACTTCTCAACACCAAGAGATTTTCAATAGTGAAGCAAATTGCCTTAGGAAGTAGTGTACTCAACTTCACAGGAAATGTTTGTGAAGAGGCTGGTTAGCAATTTCTTGGGGATAGCTATACTGCCATCAAGAACGCAACTGATCTTATTCAATTATGGAAGTTTTCACATGGTTATTACTTGGACAAAGGCATTTTAGGGATCACCCTGCAGTTTTCAGTACTAATGTGGAATCATAGAATTGGAAAGTACCACCTCAATCATCCAGTGTGTGTCTACATTGCCCAAAACCCCATACTCACCACTGTGACCTGGGCAAATGGTGTTCATTATGATTTGCAGGCAATGTGGGGCTTTTCACCAAAATTCCAATTTAAAAGAGAACTGTCTTGTGCCCCACATTTGCCTGGAAAATTCAGATAATCATATGTGTGGCTAGTGTGTGGCTAAGAATACTGTGATGTATAGGATACCTGATAATCCAGGACCACCTTTTTCACACAACCAAACTCACCTGATGAAAATGTGTGACAGGGTACTCTGATTCACCACTGGGAGTATGGCATTAACAGGGTTGCTGAGGACCAGAAAAAAATATGCTGTGGCTATAAGATGGGTATGAATTTCCCCATCAGTGTAGACACTCCCCTAGTCCCACTGTGTGCCAGTGTGGGAATCCACAGCTAAAGCATCCCTGAGAGGTGAGCATCCAAACTATGTTCAAAACCTGCAAATGAGGTGATACCAAAACCTATTCTGCTGTTAAGCAGCTCTTGCCATCAAGAAGTCATTCTGACTATTTAGGTGTAATTTCTTTTCCAGCAGTTTGCAGTGGCTCAAGTGGTTAAGACACTGACTCTTGATTGCAAGATTGGCAGGTTGGCAGTTCGATGCCCGGGTGCTGCATAATGGTCTGAGCTCCTGTCACTAGTCCCAGCTTCTGCCAACCTAGCAGTTTGAAAGCATGCAAATGCAAGTAGATAAATAGGTACCACTTCTCAGTGGGAAGGTAAACAGCATTCTGTGCAATCATACTGGCTACATGATCACAGAGTAGTCTCTGACAACGCTAACTCTTCGGCTTAGAAATGGAGATGAGCACCCCCTCCTACAGTTGGACATGGCTTGACAACCTTGTCAATGGGGAATACCTTTACCTTTAGTCTGAATCCACTGATTCAAGTTGTATCAACTAAAGCAGCAGAAAACTGACTCACTCCATCTTCTACATAACAACTGTTCAATATTTAAAGATGGATCAATGGTGTGATTCAGTATAAGGCAACTTCCTACATTCCTATAGCTGAAGGACTCCCAAATGAACGCCATGATTCCTTCAATTTAT